GTATTGCGCAAGTGTAAAGCTCTGTTTTGGGGATTACATCTCTTTATATCAGGCAACCCAGTTGTGTTCCTCTGTCCAGATTAATCCTTGTAGCCTTTATATTATGCTCTATTCTTTATTTTTTAGAAACCTCACACTTTTCTACTCAATTTTAAACGGTGTTCTAGTATTCAAATTAAGCGCGGTCCACTGCTGCACACGTGCCACAATATCGATACAGGGCCAGCTGTATCGATACTCATATCGTCAAATCTCTGTGACGATACATCATCGTATCGATCACAGCACTAACATTTACTACTAGATGCAGCAATAATGATCTGTAAAAGCGCTATGGGCTGTTTGGAAACTGACACGTACCTTTTTCATCATCTTGTTCTGCTTGTGGAAGAACTCCACCTTGATGTCTCCACACACAGGCAGTGGCTGTGGAAAATCAAAGTACATGTACTTCTCCTCTCGCCTTGTGTGCGCTGGGTTAGACGTGTGGATTTTCACCTTCAGCTGGTACACCACAAACTGAGGATCTGCAAAATAAAACAATGTGTAATTGCTCTACCAGCTTTGTGCAACAGAAACAAAATGTGAGCTTATGCATATCTGTTAACATAAAACAGAAGAAAAGCAGAGGAAAACAACAGGCTAGAAACAGCAGAAATATTGATACAGAAAAGACAAAATAACAGTGGCACGCTAAGGGCCCTATTCTGAGAACAGCTGACCCTGGACCACACTTCCCATCTCCCTCAAATGAGGCTTTACAAACGACCACCCAAAAGTGGCGTTAGGGGCATTTATTTGTACATGGCAAACACATTTTACAGAGCAACACTGGCTAGGCTAACAGAACTGAAAATGAGAAACATTTTAGAAAAAAGCTGATGTTACCCCAATGCCAATTGGTTTTTCTGAACCCATGTGGAATCTGCTCACTCTTGCTTTTTACAGCAGAATCCCCTTGGAGAAAAAGAAGGAGATTAAAGACTGTCCAGTGGCCTGGCCAGAGCAAGAGCAAGAGAGGGCACTATGAGGGGAAGAAACGTTTAAACAGAGCTAACACAACACACACTCATGCAACACACAGCTTTTACAGAGCTGGACTGGGCTGGACTAAAATATTAATGGCCATTTAAGACTCTATGGAGGAAAGCATAAGTGCAACACCACCGGGAAGCCCTTTAGTTGTGAGGTACACTCTAAAAATCACACATAAAACATGTTACAGACATACAAGTACAAAAATAAAATATAATGGGGGATAAAGTTCAGATTTCACACAGCAGGTTGTCTAAAGCATTATGAACGATCCAGTCCAGGAGCCGTGTAGAGCAGGCTTGGTCAGTGTCACCAAGAATGTGTTCAGAATAGGGCCCGGAGGAGGTACAGTCAGAGACAGAGAGACATGGATGTTAGGGATGCACCGAAATGAAAATTCTTGGCCGGGAAAAAATGAAACACTGGGCCGAAAGCCGAAGACGGTTTGATTTTTTTTTCCCTGTGTATTTTGCCCATTTTTTTCACCACTGCATAAATTAAATAGCCAAAATGTGCTTTTTACTATTTTTGTTTATGAATGTTGATGGAGTTCTTGCTTTTTCGCAACTTTTATTTTGGCGGAAACGCGCAGGAAGACCTCAATGCTTCTTTTTGTGCACGAGTCTCATTGAGTCTCATTACGAATATATTGCACGTATTGCATTGTCACATGCCTTGTAAAAATTCATAAATGTGACTGAGCAACTGACGAGTCACACTGGTTCAGCGCAGATTTTCCTCGCGCTTTGGACTTTGAACCCTGGTTAACAAGCAGATCCGCCGCGAGTTCGTGCAGCGCTGTCAGAATACATGCAATTAGAGCGTGAAAGGTGAGAGACTTGATTTCCAGTTACAGAGACTCTGTGTACACCTGGTATTAATGTCTGATCTGACCTCAAGTGGATGGTACTGTAATAAACGTATACATGGAGGGCAAAATCTTTTGAAATGAAACCACAATGAATGGTAAGGCCATTTTACAAAGGATGTTAAATTAAAATAATTAAAGTTTTTTCTTTACATGTTACAAAATATGTTTCAAATATATGCTGGTCTTTTGAAGCAATTCCTATTCATTAAAGTATCCTGAAAAAAAAAAAAATTTATAATAATAATATAAATAAGCAGCACAACAGTCTTCAACATTGATAATGAGAAACGTTTCCTGAGCTCCAAAGAGTTCTTAGAATGTTTTCTGAAGGATCGTGTGACACTAAAGCACACTTCATAATGCAGTTTTAAAACAGCTACAGAAATTTATGATGTTAATGTTAGTAATACCTTAATGTAGTGCTGGGCGGTATACCGGTTCATACAGAATACCGGTGTTTATTTTTGTTATGATATGAATTTTTAAAATACCGCAATACGGTATGTCGCTTAAACGACATACCGTCGCTATAAACGACATATATGTCGCTTAAACAACGTTCGGAACACAACACTGTTTGAAAGGGATCCCTTTTCACTGTTGCACTGTGGTGAGGGAACAGCTCTCTCTCTCGCTCGCTCGCGCACACACGATCGCAAAACTCCACATTTGAACAGTCAATAGCAAATACTTAAACTGCTGTTATGTTAAATAAAGTTGACTAACTACAGTAAATCAAGTGCCCGTGAACGCCGTTGTTGTCGTCTTGTTTCCCCTCAGATGCGCTGCAATGGTGATCCTGCGCGCAATTCTCAAAACATCCACAAGATGGCGGCGTTTATCGGTGAATCCGATATTACAAAACCGATATCCGATTATTGTAAAATGCTTAGATATCGGTAAATATTTCGGTAAATCGATATATCGATCGATCTCTAATTCTAAGTCAATATACTGCAGTATTTCCTCTCTCAATCAGTAGAAAATATGGTTAACACCCGGTCATGCATGAAAAAAAAATACCGTCATGTACCGTGAAACCGGTATATTTTTGAAAAATACCGTGATATAAATTTTTGGTCAGACCGCCCAGCACTACCTTAATGCCTAATTGTCCACATTTAGCAGTTTAGAGCTGGGCAACAGAATAGAGATTGATTGAATTGGGTGTACGTGCACTGCTTGCGTGCCGCCAACAAACTGCCTGTGATTTACCATGTGCATCTCATTGAAACAGACCCAGTTCCTGCCAGCAGTTAGAAATGCATGTGCTCACGTCGCATTTGTATGGTAAACACTAATGCTTTCAAAGGCCTCCAACTCACCTATCCACCATGCACCAAGTTAAAATGAGAGTCTTAAACTTTGCCGGTTACATGTAATTTTAAAAGAAAATAATCACAAAAGTTTGAAAAGTCCATACTTGTCACAGAAGACACATGCGAGATGCAAGTAATACCAGGTGTAAACACCAATATGTCTCACCTGAGCACTTGAGATCAAATAGCCCGTAACGGATGACAAGACAAAGTATAAACAACACTGCTAGAAAGGGAAAAAAAAAGAAAAAAGAAAAGAAAGGAAAGAGCTCACTTACTGCAAGTCCCTCCACTGAACATAGGCACTGTCTCAAACACCATCTTGTGAAAGAGCAAGGCCACAGGTTTGTACTCCAGCTTATTCTTCAGAAGGTAGCTATAGTAGTACACGTATCGCCTCTGACTGGGAATAGTCACTCCCTATGAAACAGCAAACCTGTAGTGTTAATGCAAACATCTCCTCCGTGGCCTCAACACAACACAACACAACACGTTTGCATCATACTTCCGTAAAAGGGTGCAGCAGTTGGGTTCCAGAAGTAAAAATCCCACCCATTTTCTCCAAAGGGGAATTGATTTTTAACAATTATTTTAAAAAACCTTTAAAGACTTATAAACCTTTAAAAGTAATCTACAAGGTTGTAAATTTATGGTATATGCTTTTGTTGATGCCATTATTCCAAATTAATTTTTATGTAATAATTTAACAGAATACCTGGTTTAAAAAAAAAAAAAAAACTACATGACACTGCAAAGAAATCTCAACCAATCAGAGAATCGAAACAAGCAAACCATGCCCAAGGGCTACACAGCACCCACCCACACATAAACCACTACATAATAGAGTCAGTCTCCCTAAGCTCTCAAACTGATTCAATATTTTTTATATACAAATATTTTGCAATAAAAGTAAAATATTGTTTCTATAAATCAACATCTTCAAAAATCAATAATTTTATATTTCTCCATTGCTTTAGGTCATTTGCAATGCTTCATAGGATTGTAGATCTTTCCCTTAATAAAGTACACAGTCTTGTACCGTTGCCTTTTTGTTTGATATTCAAATACTTTTTTGCTTCAAATCTAAGTTTGTAAGGTTGTGATTCACCTCGTAGCTGGTTGGTTTAATTAATGGCATACAACTCTTTTTTTATGCCATTTTTTTTATTCTCTACAAGAAAAATACTTCCAGAACAAAGGCCACTAAAAAAAGTGGATGGGCACTGTTGCACTCCACAGAAGAATACTCGGGGGAAATGATGTAGGTCAGTAGATTTTTTTAGGTTCGAAACATTTCACTGTAACATTATTATTATGATAGTAATAGCACACATACCCACATACATAATTATACATCAGCATGGACATTGCTTTCATTGACATGAAAATTTATCAAAACTTTTATCCTTTAATTTACATTTCTATACAAAAACTTAAAATTCACAACTTGAGTTTTTTGGGAAACAAAGCAAAAAAATATATACGTCACCTTCTTGTCTCTGGTTCTAACTTCACCATAGAAGTCCAGAGCCTCTTGTGCTTTTTTGAATTTGCCTCGGTGTAACAAGTACGCACATATCATGACACCCGTACGTCCCTTTCCAGCTTTGCAGTGAATGGCAGCCACATGATTGTCATTTTCACTGAGCCACTTATCCAAATCTTCACAGAAAGGTTTAATAAGTTCTAACTGAGGAGGATTGTGATCCTCAAACGGATACTGTGCAACTGCAAGAGAAAAATAAAGAGTTCATTGAGACCTTCATTACCAAATTTCAAAACCATCTGTAAATGGCAGATTTATGCAATCCAAGTATCTTACCTCTGCAGTTAAATTTGGCAGTATCATAATGTCTTTCCGCACATCTAAACAATACAAAGAAACAGATAAGTACAGAAGTTCAACGTAACATTCCTGCTTAAGAACTTTGCATCAATGCCAAATCCAACAGAACATTCACAGCTAAATAACAGACCTATGTGCAATGACAATGCCTTCCATTCACAATGATCAAGCAGCTTGTTTTCTTTAATGTTCAATTGAACATGATTGCAGCTTTTCTGCTTTTAACAGCAAACTGGAGGAAATGTTCTAGTAGTAAAAGCATTTGACAGAACTGAAGTTATTTGAAACACACTTACAGATTATATATCTTGTAATGATTTTTATGCTTCAAATCCAAGAATCTGCAGAAAGAGCACAATAATTACTTGCCCAGACAATCACGGTTGATTTTGGTTAAAGGAAGAGTTCACACAAAAATGAAAATCCAAAGACTTTTGTTCATTTTCAAAACAAAGATATAAATCAAGAAACCACAGAGATTTCCGTCACTCCATTTAAAATCCATCCCACTAAATTTTTGATGCTTCAAGAGGTTCATAAAGACGTTTTAACGTTATGCACCAGAATCGATAAGTTCAATCCAAGTTTATATTCACATAGAAACATTGATCAACGCACATACATAAATCATATTGGTTACAGTAATCAACCGTACCTGCTTCACATGCGAGACCAACCTTTACTGTACTTGCAGAAAATGAAATGTGCTTGCCTGACACGTGAGAACAAACCTCATTGCTTCTTCCATTTACCATATTTGATGTGCTTTATCCATCTGCATTGATTAATGTTTATATATGAATAAAAATCTAAATTAAATATTTTATTGCAAAATTAAAACTGTCATATTATAAAGTGATCACGTCTAAATTTTTATTAAACCACTTGATTCATATAGATTTTTTATAATAACATTCTGAACTTTTTGACATGCCAAAGTTTTGTGGAATGGCAGGACAATACTCTCTCATCAGTCTCAAACTCCCACAGACCCAATAACAAGATCACAATCATGACAACACACCCCGTTAGCATCAAATAACGCCTAATTAAAAGCAAACTTATTAGAAAAACGAACACTTGAACATACATCAGCATGATAAGAACTAGGGGTGGGCGATCTTCCCAAAATATCATATCACAATCTTGTCACACAAAATCACGATCTGAATCGCAATCTTCCCTATTTTGAGATATTGACTATTGAGAATATCCAGAGTGGAACAAGCCTATGGCTTACCTATTTGAACAATTTAAAATACAGTATTGCATTAAACAACAAAAATGGACATTAAAGCCGGAGATAAACTTTAAAACACTGCATTACTGTATGAATCAAATATACATTGATTCTTAAAGTTATAACGTGATTAATTCAAGATAGTGAGTGATTGTCTCTGTATTTTGTTGTTTGATTAACATTAATGATACAGACAGCAGTAGGTTTATTAGGCTGCTGTCTCTTTAAGACCGAATGCACGTATCTAATATACTGACATGCATCCCATTTCTTTCCTAATCGTTTATGTTCACTTAAGACATAACTGACTGTCTTTATGTAAATACTCGCTAAGACAGACATTGACATATTATTGTGTATATTTGATCATTTATGCGAATGCTTGAAACTCCACATATACTTTGCTTGTTCGTGTTAGCGCCGCCTCTGAGCGCTTGCACAGAACAGACCTGGGGAACAGTCTCTTTCGCAGTTAATGCGCTTTTAATAACACTTTTTAAAATAAAGCATGTCCCACAGTAGACTGCATTTTACGACGGTCACATTGCATGATTGGACTGATTTGAACGTTAGGTTTAGGAGAGGCGAAAGCTTACCGCTTGAAATTATTGGAACAGCTTGCGGCACAAATCGAAACTGAAACTAAAATTTGATTCATCGCAGTACTACTGCTAGCTCACGTGGAGTTGTTTTTTTTTAAATACGTCACCACGCATGAAAGACACATGATAGAGATGCGGTATATAATTTGACCAGCCACAGTCATCTAATAGGCAGTCATTGCTGTAGTTTTAACATTATTATGAGGACATAAAAGATCACGGTCTCTATGGTTCACTTGAAAAGTAGATCGTAGACATCTTCGAGATCGATCACGATATAAAATCGACAGATCGCCCACCCCTAATAAAAACTACCTAAAATGATGGAAACCATCTTTGAAAAAAATGTATACGAAGTGTTTTTTAGTTTGTCTCGCATCCCATTGGATTACATGGAGAGGGTGGGGTTTATGACCTATACTGGGTCCAGCCACCTGGGGGCGATCTAAACATTTTGGCTTCACTTTTCAGCGACACACTTGTTTTGTAACGACAAGAGGGTGTCTATCTAGCATATGTTTGACAAGGGTGACTACAGGTTTTAAAAAATAAATAAAAGGTAGTGTGGAAAGCCCTTATATGGAGCCGTTCATTTATAACACATCAATTTCACTAATATTAGAACTAGGTTAATAAATTCATGTGCGTACTAGGGCTGCAATAAATGATTATTTTGATAATCAATTAAAACGATTCTTAGAATGATTAATTAACTAATTGTCGATTATTTCAATTAACATATTGAGTTATACATATTCTAAATAAAAAATAAAACAAGGTAATCACTTCAGCTTTTGAAAATGTCAAACAATTATATTACTATCATACAATTACAATTATTATACAATTATTTTTTTACAATACAAATAAATATATTTGGCACACAAAATGAGATGACAAAGACATTCTCATTTACCATTTAATTAATTCATCATTCTGACTTTTTTTTTTTAAGTCATATGGATATTGAACAAAGGTAAGAGACGTTTTATTTTTGGTAAACCATTTTATTCAGAACATAATCTCTCTTAAAACACTTTATAGTGTTACATTAATCAAAGCAGTCCATAGCTAGATTAAGCTTTGATTTAAAAGGTCATTTAAAGTAGTAATTCTAACTGGAACTGTGACACTGACAGTTTGATCATGTTTAATACTGCAAAGCTGCTTGGTTTAAAGCAATCTATTGCATAAAGTGCTATGTAAATTAATGTGACTTGACTGGACTTTACTGGAAAGAGGAACTGCAAAGCTGGTGCTAACCTCTACATTGCTATGATCAGATGCTTGTCGATAATGTCAACTAATCATTTCAGCCCTACTGTATAGGCATGTGTTGTGAATTAGGCGAAAAGTTTTTGAGAAGTTCAAATGTGCATGTAAATACAACTAGTCTACGCAATTATTAGGCAACATCACTAAGGAACTATGGATGACTAGAAAAAAAATATCTAATGCTCTGAATTGTGGTTGGAACATAAAACCATTATTTTAAACATTTTCTGCACAATCAAGGCTAATATTTACAGTCAAGCAATGAACATCACAAATGCATTTATTTGTATGACTGTGGAATGGCATACTGACTGACAGTCTAACATTAGTTACACACTTCATAAAATGCCACTGAAGGTGCACACTGCAAACTGATAAAGCAGTGCAACAGGTCATTTCAGAGGTTTTAGATACACTGTGTGAAAGGCCTATAGCAGTAACGATCAGCAGTTTTTGAATGCTCTAGACAAAAAAAAAAACATCTGGGCTAGATGACGGTAAGCAACATCGTCTTATGTTCTCGGATGGTGTAGCATGTGGTTCTCACTCCTGATCTGGCAAACTTTATGTTTTTTGACAGCGCCATGCATAAGTAAATAACCAGCTATAATTATGATGCACTGAATGAGGCATCCATGATACTCACTGGACATAAAAATAATCGAAGGTTTGACATAAAAATAAAAAAATAAAGTCCAGGGCCAGTGTTGGACAGTTTCGAGAAGAACTGTCACTTTGTCCAGTCAGGTGAGTGCTGCACTGACATTACATCGCACATTGGTGTGTTGTTGTTGTTTTTCCTCGCAGACTTAAAAATTAGCATCAAATGATGGCTTTATTTTTGAAGTCTATAGCAATTATGTCAAGTGAAAATCTAAAGAACTGTGTTATACATTTCAGGTAAATAAATAAGTAACTTTTAACTGCAAATGTGTTGGGAATAAATGGATAGAATAAAACCTAAATCCTAAAAAGTCTCATCTTGGCTAACTTCAAGAAAAAAAATAAAAATGTAAGCTTAAAACTAGTAAACATATTTCATGACCCACGATCACACAAGATGCATTTTATCAATCATTGCCGTAGACAGTGTTGCTTTATCAGTAACATGAAAAGGGGACTGAAAGAATGAAATCATTCTCCATATTTATCCTTTGAAACTTCTGTAAGAATAGAGTCCTACATTCCACTTCAACACAGTGTGCGTTTTACATGCAATGAGTGCATAGCATGATGCAATGCAATAGTGAACCCACACACCATCAAAGCCCCTGCAAATCAAAGTCCGTGCAATCAATTCATTCACAGTCTACTCATGTAATACACTAGATCTAAAGCAAAACTGCATCCTTGTTTAGTGCAAATACACTTAACATTTCAAAATTCTTGACAAAACATCCACCAAGGCCTACCAGATTCCTAAAGCCATTGTTATAGTGCTACACAGAGAAATAATTGCACCTCTTCAATTATTTGATCCTGCCCTCTAACTGTCCTTCCAGCCCTGCCTGTTTCTTAGTGTTTGGTACACCTGTCTTTTTGTATATTACAGGACAACGATCAGGACAGTGCAGTGAACTGCACTACAGCTAAACGTCAGGTTTGGTTTTAATATTTCATCTTCAATAACACCGAATCCTGCTGAAATAAAACAAGTAATCAAACCACTTTTCCACTACATCTGCAAGGATGTAATGCACCTGAACAAAGCCATCACAAAATCAGCTATGTACATGCATACAATGCCCGTGCTTGAAAAACACAAATGACATTGACATATGGTACATAACAGTGAGCAGGCATCAGTGACGTTTCTAAAATACAGCGCTACAGAGGGAGACCTCTTTAACAGGACTGCACGAATCCCTTCCTGCGATTACGAAAAAGACATACTTCACATACTAAAGCATTTCCTTTTGTACGCAAGCGTGTGAACTGACTCATTTATGCGCAAATCAAAACTACACCAAGTTGAGCGCGAGATCTATGTTATGCGAGCAGCTGATGCAATGGCTCTTTGTGTGACACTGCTTGTGCATTTCGTCTAATCCATCGCATTATGTAAGCCAGTGAGACCTCTACGCGACGCATCTTTTGTTTTAAACCCCCCAAACTGCAGTTTTCGTGCGAGAAGCCTTTAGTTGAAATGAACGCGTTTTGTGTGCTGGATTTCAGATTAGCAGCCAATCGATGGATCAGATTGCATAAGAATGAAAAATAATGACCTTTTACAACCTGACGT